AACCCGAAATAGCTCCTTCTAGTCGTTCAGAAACCACAAACAGCTATGATCGTAGCCTTAAAGCTCCGAAAAAGAGCCCTTTATATTCACCCTAAATCTATGGTAGCCTAAAATTTCCTAAAGTGACCCTAACCCCCAAATCCCCATAGAAAGAGCCCCCTAGAGTAACCTTAAACCCTACATCTCCGAAGAAAGAGCCACACATAGTAGCCCTAAACCCCAAATCCGCTAATAAAGAGCTAAACCCCAAACCCCAAACCCCAAACCCTAAACCCCAAACCCTAAACCCTAAACCCTAAATCCCAAACCCTGAACCCAAACCCCCTTCAAAAGCCGAGAGACTCAGGTCAGAGAAGAGGCCGTTAATCCCCCGAGCTCGGGAGGCGCCTTGCCGCAGCTAATTTTTTTAGGGTTTCAGGTTTTGCGGCTTAGGGTTTTAGGGCTTTGGGTTTTAGGGCTTTTAGGGTTTAGGGCTTTAGGGTTTTAGGGTTCAGGGTTTCGGGTCTTAGGGTTTAGCCCCAAAGTCCTAAAGGCCGGAAGTTCAGGGTCGGGGTTTCGGGGTTTGTCGTTCTCAAGGTTTGATTTCAGGGCGTAGGGTGCTATTCAATTCGGGTAGTACAACAGGGTACTGCTATGAGGCTTCATTCAAGGGCTGCTCTGGGATTCAGGGTTGAGAAGGGCTTTGTATAGGCTTCAAGCTTAGATTTGTCAGTTTTCGGTCAGAGCGATGATGTTCGCCCTAAACCCTAAACCCTAAACCCTAAACCCTAAACCCTAAACCCTAAACCCTAAACCCTAAACCAACAGCCTAAGAACCCAATGCCTTCCGACAGCCACATCCGAAGACATGAAGAATCTTGAGGCCCCAAAGCCGAAGGGCGTTGCTTCACGAAGACGGTTAAGCCCCAAACCGTCCCTGAAGCCGAAGACTTTAGGGTTTAGGGTTAAACTTTACCATAATTATAGGAAATGATTTCGGCCCTTATATCAAGCCCTAAACCCTAATCCCTAAACCCTAAACCCCAACCCGCCCCTGAAACCGACGTTGCGGCAGGAAGAGGACCGTGGAAGCCTGGCTCCGAGCTCCCTTGTGGGCTCTCGCCAGCCTCGTCTTCCGGCCGTTGGAGAAGGTCGTGGAGGCTTGGGGGATTCCTTTAAGGGCTCCATAAGGTTTAGGGTTCAGGGTTTAGGGTTAAGGGTCCTGTAGAGGGTTCCGTGGTGTTCTCGGTGTTGAAGGTTGTTCAAGTTGTAGCTTTGCTTCTGAAGTTTGCGAGCTTTGCTCTTTGGAAGGTTTGCTCTTCCGGTTTCCTGTTCTGAAGGTAGACTCTTCTAGCGCTTGTCCATGTTGTGCAATCGACACGATGAGAGTCGGAGCTGTTCGAGGTCGATGTCAGCAAGGTACAGTTGTCGCAAGGCAGCGGTGCGGTTTGTTTGGTCTGTTGTGGTGTTGTCATGACTTCCACGATGTGTCTTTGGGCTCTGCTTCAAACTCGCAGATGGACACGAAGGCCTAGCTGTTCTTGCACACGGAAAGGAAGCACGGGCTTGAGAGCTTGGCCTAGGATGGCTCCTGCTTGGAACCCTAAACCCTAAACCCTAAACCAGCTGTTGAAGGCTGCGAGCATCCCGCTTCCCTGCCCTGCCTCTCAAGGCCTCCAAGAAGTTCTGGCAGAGGTATGAAAGGCCTCTACAAGATGTTATGTAGGGGCCTTTCTAAGTACCTATAATATTTTAGGGGGTTCCTTATTATAGGTATAGCTTACTATACCCCCAAAGCCCTATTCTAATTATTAAGGCCCCTACGTTATAGTGTATTAGCTTCCCAACTCATAACTCCCCAGTCCCAGGATTCAGCAAGTCGTCAGTTTGCAGCTCGCCCCTCTGAAGCGATCGAAACCTATTCCAACCTCCGGGAGCCCCGCACCACAAGAGTCTTGTAATAAAAGGGTTCTGAAACTTTTGTGATGATGATGATGATTATTACAGACACTTGGTTCCGTGAATCTTTTAAGACGGTCGCTGGGATCCGGCCTTGCGTGCAAGCGTCGAAATCCTAAAACTGCACATGGAGTTCCCGGAACTTCCCTGCCATGCAGGCTCTTCTTGGCAATGTGGCAACATGTACGACGCAAAACAAACTAAATCGCCGCCACTGAGCTAGCGACATGTGGCAACAGCACTGCACATTAGATTCTCGTTCAGGAGAGCGGTAAAGATATAGCCGGGGAGCAGTACATACATACGTACATACATGCATACATACATGCATTCTGAACATACATGATTGCCTATGTTCTTGTTCACCTAATATGAAAAGATGCACACACGCATACTCGCATTCGCATGTCGTTGTACGTGCCTAGGGCCTAGATGTCTTCATTTCGAGGGGCTATAACTAAGGGTCTGAAGGATTCGGCACGCTACACCCTTAGTCCATTCCCTTGACGACTCACAGTCTGATATCCCATTCAGCCCTATGGCTGGGAATCCCTTGACAACCCACAGTATAGCAATTATACTGTAGCCTTCAGCCCCAAAGGCAAGCACGATTAGAAGGTGCTGGGTTGAATCACTACGCGGGTTCGCAGCTTGCACCTCGTCAACGAGAGCCGCCAGCTCAGAACCCACTTGTTTGAGTTTGATGACGGTTTGGGATCAGGATTCAGGGTTAAGGACCGTTGCAGGGGCGTTTGGGATGCCTGCAGTTCAGGACGACATTTTCGACCTTGGCTAGATCGACTTCAAGCATTGTCATCAAGTGGAAAACTGATGAAGAATAAGTGTACTGCTATAAATGCTCAGTTAGAGTTTAGGGTTTAGGGTGAGGGTTCGTAGGGACCACGTGGAGGGAATGCCAGCGCGACAAGAGCACCGAGATCGCCAGGGCACTGTGATCATGGGGTTTAGGGTTTGGGGTCTAGGGTTCAGGGTTTTGGGTTTATAGGTCTTTTTAGGGTTTAGGGTATAGGGGTGATCATGATCATCAGTGCCCTTTTACCTCTGTAGAAGTCTAATTCTGCAGTGCCACGTTGCTGCTACCACCACAACTCTCTCTCGCTCCGTCTACATATTAGATGCATATATCTATGTGTATATATATATATATTAGTTATTATTTTTTATGCATTTATCTTTTCACATGTACACATGGGTCACCATGGTGCGTTTGACGGCTGTTGCCCTACTCATTCTGGTTCAAGCCACAAGGGCCGGCATTGATTGTGACCTTTGGTAGATTTGAGCGCGTGCTGCGCCAGGCGGGGCGCCTGCTATTGCCGATGGGCAAAAAACTGTATGTTTCACCATTTGAGTAGATCTCTAAATTAGGGTCCTGTTACTACAGTAGGGTGCCGTACTATGTTGGGGACGTAAACACTAGACTCTAGTTGAGAGAACTACCCATCAGATGAAGGACTGTAGTGCCAGTTTGGCAGTTTCGGATGCATTTGGTAATGCTGGATACTATCTTAGGGGTTAGGGCTTAGGGTCAACAGGATCCGTATACAATCGCAAAGGCTCTTCCGAAACATTGAAGGCGTCAAACGCTTCTGCTCGTGTGTAGTAGCTTGGACCCGCTCCGATCAAGGGAGATCGCGAGGCAACATGATTCGAGTGTTTAGGTTAGGGGACTGTTGAGTGTTTATGGTTTAAACTGAAATTAGAACAACCTATAGTTTTCTGTTGGGGTTCTACATCAAAGAAACAAGGAAACAGCGTGCCCAACAACGGAGCCCAGTCTTTCGAACCCGTCGCACCATCTGCTGACAGTTTTGCCAAGTACGACCCCAACAAGAAATTGCACCCTCCGTGAAACCCTGACAGGGGCTCTGAGAGGATGATGACCGAGCAAGGCGGCAGTGTCCGACAGGATCCATTGCAGGACTGAGGATTCGGTTAGGTTGGCTTCTCGCAGAGGGGGGGGGGGGGGGGGGGGNNTTAGGGTTTAGGGGTTAGGGTCCGGGGACCCTGTACGACACGCACCAACAGAAGCAATCAAGAGAAGCCTTGCAGTGTGCTGTGTGCTCTCCGGATGTTTGGCCATGCTTCTGTGCAGAGTCTGGGCTCACTTGCGCTTACCAGCACTTTCGTTCACTTTCCATTTATTCCATGTTGGTATCACTATACCCTCTTTCCAAAAACCATGGCATTGGCAGCTCTGTCTGCCGATGCTGCTACGATCGGTTGCGGATATCAGCCCTAATTTGTGCCCTAATTTCGGGGTTTTAACATCCCCAACGTAGTCCTGATGTAGGCATACTTCAAACACTTTTGAATGATTGTTGAGACCCCTAACCCTAAGCCGTTTCTTTGTGCTTCGTCGGCAGTCCTCTCCTTTGCGTTTGGCTTCGCCCGAGCCGACCGGGATTCGCTGCATAAAGATTCCCATACTAGGCTTGGTAGAAAAGTTCCAAGCGCTGGACCGCCAGAGAGGATCGACAGCCCTTTCGGATGAAAGGCAGCCGCAAGCGACACTGATCGCCTTCCGTTTTTCGTTCGATCTGGGACCGACCACGACCTTTCGGATTTCAGCCCGTGTGGTTGTGCCTTTCTTTGTGTCTCCGTCCCTCTCTCTGTCTCTGCCGGTGGGCTCAGTGGGTGTGCATGCAGACCGGTACCGAAACTAAGCTGCAGATATGGATGGTCAGACATACCCTAAGGGTCCATGTACCCACACAGTATATACTTTGGCCTTAATGTAGTCCCTATATAGGTGCTTTAGGGCCAATGTATATACTATTTGGGTACATGGACCCTTAGGGATAGTCATGGGCTGGCTCCACGGGTCTTCTGCTCATGAGCTCGAAAGAGGTACGGCAAAAGGAAGCCGAAAACGTGCTGCAGCCGTTGCTCCCTCAGCCGCGCACATAAAAAAAAAAGGGGTCGGAAGAATTTCCAGAAGTACTATTACGCCTGTAGCCTATAGTCCCTTTATAGTTAGAGTATAATTTTCCCAAAGCTCTACTCTACGTATTAAGGCCCCTAATCAAGCGGAGCTGGAGGAGAATCTGGAGAACGATGCTCTTCTCGCCACTGACGCCGGAGCAGCTCCTCAGCGCGCGTGCAGCTTGAAACGAGCCCGGCCTGATAAGCAAAGGTTGTGACATGCGTGCCAGGACCCCCTCAACTAGGGGTATACGGTCCCAAACAATAGGGTCTAGGTAGAGTCATGAACTTCGCACTTCTTTGCATCCTGTCTAACCATGTTCGATTGCAAGACTCAAGGAAGGGGGAAGTAAGCACCTGACTTCAAAACCCTAAACCCCTGAACCCCTAAACCCTAAACCCCTAGGCATGTCCGAGAGTGAGTGCTGAAACCCCTAAACCCCTGAGCCCCTAAACCCTAAAAGCCGAGGAGCGGGACTCGTGGCCGTACCCTTGGCGTGCGCTGTGCTAGCGGCCACCGTCTGGGCATCGTCCACACCTACGCTGAGGGCTGCAAAAGACCGGCTTCATTCGAGTTTTGGGCTCCTGCATCGTAAGGCAAGCATGGCATGAGCCCCCTTATCTGGGTTGTTCTTAAGGAGCTTAAGACTTTAAGTTATCCTAATCGGGATCTATAAAGAACCTAGTCATGTCTCCTTGAGCGCTTACCGCGTCCATTCTCAACCATGTTCGTCTTCTCCACTCAGCAACGCACAACAGAAGAAGTAGAGAGCCCCCAGCACCAGATAACCGGACCAGTGCTAGGCAGACCAAGCATACCCGGCATACGCCGATTCCAGGACCTGCTGGAACCAGAATACAACATGCCAGAGGAGGTCCAGATAGGTAGTATTCCGGGGCTGTACTAATTATAATAAGGGCCGTACTGTGCCTTTGGGTTGCTGTTCTCTTCCCTGTAGCCCTCGACGCTTGGGCATCTTGTTGGCCTGGTGAGGAGTCGCTCTGCAGAGAATTCGACGACATTGTCCCTGTCCTTAATACAGGGGCCTTGATAGTTAGAATAAATGAGGTTGTCTTGTAGTAGAACTATAACAAGGAACCCTAGGTAACAATATTCGCAGTGATTCCGAGTTGCATGTTACTCATCTCAGTCAAGTCAAGGCTGTGCCATGTGTTGTGTTTTCTGAGAGTCACAAGCCTCGGTTGCGCATCACCCAGCTGGAGAGGAAGGTTTAGGGCGTAGGGGCACGCAGGGGATGTGGGTTGAGGGAATCAACGATTGGGACGAGCGACGAGTAGGGATACATGCCTTGGCGGCAACAGTGGAGGTGGATGACCTGGATGCTATCACCATTGAGGCATCCGACCCGAATGATTTCCTGCGTCTTGACGTGTCCAGCATTGCTTCTCCGGCTTAGCATGGCTTGACATGGCTTTCTCTTCGCGGTTTGCCGTGTGAAACAGGCTTCGTTGCCACTTTCCCTGTGATTTGAACAAAGTCGTATTTCACAGCTGTAGCTTCCTTAGCTGTACGTGGTCGTGCAAGTGCAAGTTTCCAAGGGCAAGAGCGCTGGCAGCGCTGATAAAGCAACAGGTGTAGGAGGTCGTCGTCGCGGTGGTGTCAGATGAAGGCAGCAGCAGCAGCAGTAGCGGTAGTAGTCGCAGTAGTAGTAGTAGTAGTAGTAGTAGTAGTAGTAGTACCCATGCGCGCCTCCTGGCACCTAGTAGTTTCCTCTGTTTTCGAGCGTTTAGGCGGGGGTGGGGGGCGGGGTGGGGGGGGAGGGCTAATAGCAACATGGTTGACAGCACCGGAGCCGCGGCAGTAGCAGTCCTACTAGCAGCAGCAGTAGCAGTAGCACTAGTACCAGTCCTACTAGCAGTAGGACTAGTGGGTTCAGGCCCTCAAATCACCGAGACCTGATGCCAAGCTTTTCCGGCCCACAGTGGCTCTACGGTTGCAGATCACCCTAAATAACATGCACATCATTATCATCCTAAGCATGTTCATCGTCATCATCGTCATCATCACGACTTCACCGCCGTCAATAACATGCACATCGTTGTCATTCTCAGCAGCGTCATCATCATCATCATCATCATCACTATCATCATCATCCAAAAGTGTAATTAGTGGTAAACCAAAGTAGTTTTTTGGAAGTTAACTTGACTGCATGTTCCAGAAACTCTGTAAAACCCCGTATTTTTAACCCTCTAACCCCTTGCAACTACCAGGCGCCAGGAGGCGCGCAAGCCTACTACTAGGAGTAGTAGTAGTAGTAGTAGTAGTAGTAGTAGCAGCAGCAGCAGTAGTAGTAGTAGTAGTAGGAGCAGCAGCAGCAGTAGTAGTAGTAGTAGGAGTGGTAAGTAGTGAGAGTAGCAAGAGCAGCAGGAGCACGAGCGGCAGCAGTAGCACCAGTCGCAGTGGTTTTGCATGGTCTTGTCGTAGTCGTTGTGAAGATGACGATGGCGGTTGCAGTGGTTGGGCCTCCGGTTGTCGTTGTAGACGCACTAGTTGTTGCTTGAGTTGCTGTTGCCTCGTCCCATTGATGAACCGAGGACTGGAGGTCACGCTTATTCCGCGCTGCCAGTAAATGATGCCAAGGCCGCGGCTCAGAACATCCGGGTTAGTTGCTGGTAGCAGTTCTGATTCTCGCAGCCGGAAGAAGGAGCGCATTAAATGCTGAAGCTCCAGCGAGATTTGACAGCCGTTTTCTTTCGCAGCGGTAGCTTCTTAGCCAGGCCGGGGTTGCTGTCGTGTCCCAAAAGCTCTACACTCTGGTCCCTGTTTGTTCGGGAAGGCGCAGCAAAGTCCGGACATCCTCGAAAATAAGCGACAAGCCAAGCAACGCACGCTACGTTTGCGCATTGTTCTAACAGCAAGCTAGTCAGGATGCTCTGGTATGCAAACTCCCAGAAAACACCTACCCGCACTAGTTTTTTAGGGTCTTGTAACTCTGCATATGTACCTCTTCAGTTTCCCGTGGTCCAGTGGCAGACTGCCAGTTGACGAAGATTCCTCATAGAAGTGGACCTGACCTGGCTGGCTAGGTAGTCTTCTATACGCGTTTGTATATACCGACCTAGATCTACGTGCATAAAAAGTCTGGCCTTCAGAATGCCCTCACAGGCGAAGAGTGGACGATGCATCCTTTGCAACCCGACGTGGCCTCAGTACTCCCTCCCCTCCCTGCCTGCCTGCCCCGGCCTCCCTCCCTGCCTCGCGTCCTTGACGCTTTGGTTCGCACTCTCTCTCCCTCTCTCGCTTTCTCCTTGTCTCGCTGCAAAAAACATGCACGGGAGCTTCTTGCTTTTGGGGGAGTCGGGGAAGCCTTCAGCACTTTCCTGGGTTTGTACGCACTGGGTTCAGGGCTTTTAGGGTCCATGGTGGGCTTTGCGGGGTCACGGGGCTCAGAGGTCAGGCGTGCCTGCAGCAGCAATTTTACTATCGGAGAGTCCTCGCAAAAGCTACGGCCTCAGCGTTTAGAGGTGTAGGGCTTACAGGGGCTTAAGGCTCAGGGATTAAACCCTCAACCCCTAAACCCTAAACCCTAAACCCTAACCGTCCACGAATCTCGGACCAAGGAACGAGTGCACACTGGACTACTCTGGAAAAGGATCTTGGACCAGTTGCCCTGTTCATGCGCCCCCTGACCCGGTTTGGGGTTTAGGGTTTAGGGGATCGCAGTCCCCAACACAGAACCCTTAACCCTAGATAGCAGGCAAAAAACATTCCTGAATAGTAGCATTTTAGTCGTATTAATCAGGTACCCCGGTACCCCATTATTTAGGCAGCTGGAGTCTCTTGAGTGTCAGAGATTGGGCATGCACTTCTAGGGGTTTGGGGTTCGTTTACAATTGAAATATGGAGGTTCAGGGTTCTTTCGACGGCTTCTTTTGTCGAGTCGCAGGATCTGTGGTGCACGATTTCGGGCTTTGGAGGTTTGTTTTAGTTTAGTTTGAGGCGGTTACGAACGGCCAACTGCTCCGCTGGGTTTCATGGGTCTCTGGAGGCATTTTACACTGATGTCCTGTTCTTTCCCTAATTGGGACGGTCTGACACATCCCGAAACCTTAATTAGTGTGCGACCTGTTAGCTAGACCTGCTACCCTTTGTACGACTAGCCTGTGTATGGTACACTGACGGTTTAGGGTAGGGTTTCGTGGTTTTAATTCCCACAACCCTAACTGGATGAACTCGCCGGAGTGATTCCGCTCTGGTGTAGCCTGCGCGCGTATTGAAGATCGGGGACCATTTAAGCCTTGGGGCTTGCATCATCAATCGAGCATGCAGTTTCCCGGCAGTGCGACCTAGACTAAGCGGGGGGGAAAAATCTGGAGGTTAGTAGCTGATCGGTATAAAAGCATTGTGAGCTTTACACAGAGCCTCCACCAGTCAAGGCCTTACTTCTCAGAGGCTCATTGCAAATGTGCCCCTGGGATGCATTTGGCTGTGCACACTAAGGCACGAATCGCAGCCCCTTCTGATCCAATGCCTAAACCGTAAGTCGGCAACGAACATCTCTAATCCATAAAACCCCCCAACCCCCATAGTCCACTGCTCTTAGGAGCCTCTTGATGGCAAGGGCTCTAAACGCAGTCCTGATACTAGGACATACGAGGCACGGCACGCTGCGGCACCTGTTGCTACCGAAAGTCGGCGCATGTGATGTGTTTGTGCATGTGGGTGTGTGCGTGCGTGTGTGTGTGTGTGTGTCCTCTTTAGATTGCGTTGTGTGTTTTCCTCTCTCCCTTTCTCTCTCCTCTCCTTCTCTTCCAGCGTTCGTAGTTCCATGTATCCGTCTCTCCCACTCTCTTTGTGGCAGGTGCCGTGTCGTTCATTTCTCTTGGAGGCTACACCAAACCGAGGTCAAATCCAATGTTTGCCAAGATGCCTCGCCGGTCCTCTCTACATGCCGCATCTCGTCTTCGACCCACAGTGTAGGGACACATGGGGAACATGGCTTTATGAGTTGGACACAGTGTAGGGAGACATGGGGAACATGGCTTTATGAGTTGGAGATATGGACTTGCGGCTTAGATTGGCTGACTTTGGGCATAGTATGCAAGGAAAGGAACGGCGGAGAAAGCGACAAATCACGCAGACGAAGCAGAACGGAGAAAGATCGGCGTGCGCGCTGTGCAAATGAACAGTCAGCAGATTGCTCGCAATTGCTTCCTCAGGTGTTTGCCCCAACTGCGCCAACAAGCCTTGTGCCATCGGCGGAATCTCGGAATTTCATTCTTTGCAAAGGGTGCTTGGGGGCATGTTGTCCAGGGGAGCAGTCGAAGTTGCCTCTACAGCACATATGCAAGTATATTTCTACTCTATGGACACCATGCACACATGTACAGTTCAGAGTTGCCGAGCTCCTGCGTGCTTCACACCACAAGCCATCGCAGGATCATTCCGAGACATGTTATCCGTCTGCGCGCGAGCAGCAGTCATGAAGTGCTGCTTCTGTCAGGAAAAAGTTATCGATGCCCGCCGCTTGTCTGAATACCCTAAACCCTAAACCCTGAATCGGGACCTTTTCTTGCCATGCCAGCNNGAGTGTGTGAGTCGAAACCCTGAATCATCGTTTGGCCACTGCTTGATCGCGCTGCATCTGATTTGGCTCCCAACCCGAACCTGGACCCGGCTTAATTGGACCAGATAGGAGTGCCGAGAACCTGAAGACACAAGCCTAAATCCTCGAAATCCTCAGGCACCTCCTAAACCAAGCACCCAAAAGCACTTCAATTCTGCAGTTCGCTCTATATGGATCCTAGACTAGCCACCTTCAACTCACGACCTGAACCCCAGACTATGAGGTTCAAGAAGGCAGAAAACTCCCTTGACCGGAGGCAGCAAACGCCGTACTATATGGCCAGCAAGAAGTGGAGATCTCAGTGTCCAGGGACGCAGGGCTTGTGGTTTAGGGGCATGGTAGAGACACTACGTACACTGGGCCTTTGCCAACTGTTACTGTCAGTGGATGTACGTAGAACATCTTTTACATAAGGTTTTTCGTAGGGTTGACAGTTTAGGGATTAGTGTAGGGGCTTCAGGTCTTGATTGAGCTTTGGGGTTTCGGAGTTTGGCTCTTCAGGGCCTTGGGTTTGAAGTTTAAGGTGTTGGCTTTGAGGGTGTACTAAAGGAGCCTAAATGATTACCTATACTATTCTGGGGGTTCCTTATTATTATAATACTATAACGGAGCCCCAAACCCTATTCTAAGCATTAAGGCCCCTACATTAAGTCGAGGGCTTGGTGTGAAGATATGTCGCAGCACCGAGAGTTAAGCCCAGCAAGAAGATGGCAAAAAGTCAGCCCTGAACTCTGCAAACCGCACCCCTCCCTGAAGCCCAAAACTTAAAACCCCTCCGGCACAAAACGCGAATTGCAGCTCAGCTTAAAACCCTCTTCGTTAGTCTAAGGCTCTTCAGAAGTTGCACCACTTGGCGTGAAATTCCCTTGCCCACCTGGTAGTGCCCTTGTGTGTGTGTGTGTTGTCGTCGCTGGTTGCTCCTTGGATACACTTAACGGATCATGGGACTTAGTAAGTAGGGTTATAACTAGGGTAACTATACTTATAACCCCAACTAGGGGACATATAACCTTACTTACTAAGTCCCATGATCCTCCAAGTATGCTTTGTAGCACTACTGGCAGCCCCGGCAGGTATCGCCAGTCCTCAGATCCAGATCCACGGTTCTCACATATGGGAGTTTCCGAAAACAAGGGGTACCTTATTTTCGGGTCGTTATAATAAGGATCCTACTATTTAGGGTAGTATATTAGGTTGCCCTATTTTCTGAAACCCCCCATATCGGGACACACCTCCATGCAATTAGGAGGATTCGGTGTGTAGTGCTTCCCCGCGACGAGACTAGCAAACATGCCTCACCTAGAGCGCTCGACCCTTACCTATGGTCTCCATTGTAGTTTCTCTTTCTGGTTTAACCAGTTCTATACTTAATTAGGTTCCTATAAAGAGAACTACAGTGGAGACATCTTTCTGGTTTAGCCAGTTCTATACTTAATTAGGTTCCTACAGTGGAGACTATCCTAAACCCTAAACCCTAAACCCTAAACCCATATAGGTAGTCTTGCACAAACTGGAGGCTTTGTTCCAACCAGTGTCAGCCACCTCCTGGCCCTGCTCCACCACCGCCCGCTGGGGCCGAGTTCTTTTTCGTTTGGGGGGCGGGGATTTAGGGTTTAGGGTTCAGGGATTAGGGTTTAGGGTTTAGGGTTTGGGTTCAGCGTGTAGGGTTTAGGGTTCAGGGCTTAGGGCTTAGGGTATCCATTCTCTGCAATATAGCTTATTTTTGCTACGGCTATACATATTTTTTGGCGGGCTCTGCATGAAGCTAGGTACCAAAAACAAAGGTGCCAGATGGGAGAGGCAAGGTGCAGGGCCAATATGGGGATGCAGGAAGTATAGGTGGTTTCGGGTTTCGGGCCTGGGGACTTTGGACTTTGGGGGGACAGAGGGTGTGTGTTGTTTCGAAGTTTCGAAATGCAGACTCAAGTTGTTTTTTGTTCAGGGGGCGGAGGGTGCTGTGTTTGGTACACATTAGGTCGGTAGTTAAGCTTCGGATTTCGAAAGTGCAGCTTGCACTGACAGTAGGTCGCTCAATCACTGAACAAAAAACGAGCTCCAAACCCTAAACCCCTGAACCCTAAACCCTAAAACCCTAAACGCTAAACCCTAAAAGCAAAGCTGCCCTTGTGGACTGGCAGGTACATGCCTTGGCTGGCGACCACGCCACCGCCATCAATTGCGCATACCGATATAGCGTCGCCCGTCATGAGACTTCTTCCAAACAGGAGCACACATGTTTCTGATGATGCAAGTTTAGTACAGGTGCTACCAGCTGCATGGAGCAGCCACATTCTGATGAGCAAGAGCCAAAGGGAAAACAGTAGTCTCGAAGCAGAAGATGCATGCGCGCAATGGTTGCCGCCAAGCTCCTCGAAGATGCCTCGAGTACTGTTACTCCAAAGCTCCACAGCTCTCAAGCCTAAATCCCTGCACTCAAACTATGAGCCTAATATAGGGGCCTAAATAACTACCAACACTACGGAGGTTCCTCATAATTATAGATTTATAGGAAAATATACCCCAAAACCGTATTCCAATTATTTAGGCCCCTATATTACGCGGTCCCTTGAGCCTTAACCCAGCCTTGAGGCCTTAACCCCGGCAAAAACGCTACAAGGCCTCCGCCGACGCCGGGTAAGACGGATTGGGCTGCAACGACGGCACCATCAGCGGAGTGTAAACAGGATCGCTTGATTCGGTCTCACCTTCCGTCCGAAAATTCGGTTTTGGGGTTCAGTCAGAACTTTGCGTAGTACTTGCTCTGGTACTCGTACAGGAAGAAATGCAGCGCCGAGCAAGCGCACTCGACGCCGTGACAATGACTGAGACGGTATGATGCTGCCACTTTTTAAAGCCCTAAACCCTAAACCCTAAACCCTAAACCCCTAAACCCTAAACCCTAAAAGTTCATGTCTCCAGGAGACCGGAGGTCAGTGCAGTTGGTGTCTTGGCCGAACTATGAACACATTCTCGCCGAGGTCACAAGCCGGAAAATGTAAGCCTTGACAATTCAACTCGGAACCCTCACTGTGTGGCCAAGGTTCGGGTGCAGTTCAAGTCGAAAGGCCACGTGCAAGAGCGGAAAGTGTATTTGCACCTTGCCTGGTTTAACGATGTCCCGCAGGAGCCTAATCACATGAAGCGTGTTCGTTGGTTTTGCTTCTAGACCTGGTGCTGCCTGCAGCAAGGTCGAGTCTAGTACCATGCTCTGAGCTTGTAGATCTTCTGCTGTCCCTTGACCCATCTTCGAGGTGACACAAGCAAAGGCTTGTGTGCAAAGAACGGCAAGTGTGTCAAGGCATCAATCCCCAGGCGGGTAGCCCTAAGGGCAAGGCTCCATGTACCTACAAAAATAGCATACAAAGCTACTTTATGCAGGAAACCCCTTTAAGGCCGCGGTGTGGGCTATGTACTACATGGGTACCTGGACCTTGTGTTTGTAGGATTTAGCAAGGAGTTTTCCTACCTTTATAAGAGCAAGCTAGCTGACATGTAAGTGATGGAGCTTGGGGTCTTTTATGCATCATGTTCACCGCTTTCCTGTGCATGTTACTTGTGTCGCTCGTACAACTGTTCGCGCAGCTTTTGCACTTGTGTTGGTATACCGAAATCGCAGGCTTCAAGAGATCTACGGTGGCACCGAAAACTTCCAATCTAACAGCACACAAGCAAACCACCAGATCTGAGATGACATTCGGAACAATGGAAGTCCTCCTAAAAAGGAGTCGGCAATCTAAGAAACTCCCCATATCGGGCCATATCGTGACTAACCAAGCGGCGCTCGTTGGGGCGCATCCTCCTTTTCTAGAGCTTCTTCTGTGAACTTGGGCGTATTTTGACCGATGCGTTGGTCCAGCGTGTAATACTTCAATCCTGGGTAGGACAATCGCGATAGACCATGAACTATAGTTAGGGTTTAATCAGGGTGTAAGCCTTAAGTAGCGCCTCACATACCCTAGACTCCAGACCTTGTGACGCGCAAGCCGTTGCTTGTCTCTGACAGCTCCGTGACAAGCCCACCAAGCTCCGCATCGACATGCAAGAGTGGCGACACAGGCAGGTTTCGGGTTTACAGTACTCATACTTTTTTTGTATACATAGTATACAAATAAGATATTACATAATCTATAGCCATATACAATATATGGCAGGTTTTGGCTGTAGGAGAACTCGCATCTTGTCCAGACCTACAGCTTGAAAGCCATGCTCATAGGGCTTCTGTATGGCATTTTGACATCTGGCATGTGAAATTTCAGCGTCGCTGCCTTCTCTGCGGAACCCTGAATAGGGGGTTTGCCTCTCAGGCGTTTCCTGCCGATGGGCGGACTGCGACAAAAAACTTGGCACCTGAGCGGGGCTGGTTTCGGATTCGAGGTTCCAGAGCTTGATGGCATCGGATTTCGGCTTATGCAGGCTCGAGGACGGTGCGGCTTTCTTTCTGTCGCGGCCTATATCTGTTCTTGTTGGTCTTCTGCCTTCTCAAGGGCAGCCAACCGGCTGCAGTGTACCCGAGCAAGCTGGAACCTTCCCGCGGACAGTGTTTAGGGCCGTTTAGGGGTTAAGACGAGCACTCCGTTTTCAGCAGCTGGCGGCCGCCACCCAGGTTGGTGTCGAGTGCTTGCAGTGCAGACGTGCGGAATCTTAGGCAAAACCGTGTGTGATGGCATGGTTCATGGGATGGGCAGCTACAAATGCAAGTGCAAGCTCCACTACTGCATCCCGGTGGCAATTTCTGCGACTCTTCTTCTCATTCGGGTTCTCTTCTCGTCCTCGGTAGGATCAAGAAACCCTAAACCCTAAACCCCAAACCCTAAACCCTAAACCCTAAACCCTTGAGTTGAGGGCATCGGCTCAGGGGTCGAAGCTTTAGTGCTGTGCAGTGGTCGGCGCAGTTTTGAGCGGAGGCTACGACACGACCTTGAAGAAGTGCGTCAAGTCCACCTGATCAGAAGACCCTAAGGCTCCATGTACCCATATAGTAGATACTTAAGCCTTAAAGTACCTATATAGAGACCCCTTTAAGGCCTAAGTATCTACTATAAAGGTACATGGAGCCTTTGGGAGAACGGGTAGAGCAGCCGAGCTAGGCATCGAAAATTGATGCTTGGCGACGGAGGCTGCGCATTCTGAGTTGAACCCTTCGTTTTACACGCCTGTTAGTTCACGTCCGATGCCCTCGTCACGGCAGGGGGAATGTTTTTTTGCAGAATCGAGATACACTCTTCTTTCTAAACCCCTCAAGCCCCAGCTTTAGCTAACCCCATATTAGGCCACCCCCCCTCTCCCTCTCTCTCTCTCTCTTTTTTCTTTCTCTCTCTTTCTCTCTCTCTCTCTCTCTCTCTCTCTCTCTTTATAAAGACAGGTACATATGTACCTAGAAAAGGACGTGGCCATAGTATTTTCAGAACCTGATTGAGGAACCTCTGATGTTAGAGTTGCTCAAAACGTGGGATCCATCTTCGGAACACAGATACTTCCCTTCCGCTGTGTGTAAACCTAACTTAGGTTTAGGGTTTAGGGTTAACGGCGTACTACTCTGAATCAAGAGTCATAGTATTGTTGGGAATCCATCGGGCGTATAGAATACGAAAGCCGTATAGAAGCCCTATAAGCTGTAAACCCTGTAAGACCTAACCCCCCTGAGCCCTAAACTAAACCTTTAAAAAACAAACCCTAAACTACATCAAGGGTTTCCCAATCAGGTTCCCGCAGTAGCAAGGTGGCACCTGGTGGCCCTCTGCAAAGCCAGGATGGCTCCAGCTTGCATCCACAATCTCTTCCCTGAGTTGTAGAGCTACGTAGGGTGGCCGATTAGGATAGCGTAGGGTTCATCATAGGCTACCTGTGCACACAAATACTCACGCAAGGGAACAAGAGCAGAATCGATTAACAGTTGAGGCAAGGCATCATGATTCCACACTGAGGCCCTACAAAAAGCAGTGTTTCTTGTGGTCGGGGAGGGGATCTAGACATGTTAGCATTCACTTGGAGAAACACGCAATGAGCTAGTTTTGCACCCGCCAGAGTGAAAAAAGTTGTGGAAGTGATGGACATAGTCACCTGCACCAGGTGACTGTGGGACCAAAACCCGACACCCGAAATGGGTACAGCGCATGAGCCGTAAGCCCCTGTAACTGTTTGGTGCTCGCTGATCTTCTTCGCAGTTTTGTTGCAAGGTGTTCCGAAAAGGCGCGAGACATCTGGATAACCACAGCTTGGCTAGCAACCGTTTCTTGCCGGCGTCAGTCTTGGCTGGAGAAGCCTGAGAAGCCTCGGTGAGACCTTTAATTATCTGAAATCTCCGCTGATTCCCTCACATATGGTGCTGAAACACTGCCCAGAGGTCGAGACGCCCCCTGGCAGCGTACGCGCGCCAGCAGTACGGCGTTGCGGACTCCCAGGCTGGATACAACATGCCCAGCAGCACCTGTGCTGCCGTTGTATAGTCGTCGTAGCACTTGTAAGAGTACTCGAAACTGTCAGCCGCGGTTTGGTCTTGAGAAGCATGATCCACCGGTGACGTGATGCGAGTATTGCAGAGATGACAGTCGCTTCTCGTGCCTGTCCACGTACATGCAAGGCTCGCGATGTCGATGGTCAACCGCCACGAGAGTCAGGCAGGCTGTGTAGCTTCGGTTGTTCCATTGAGGAGCCAATTGCCCGCTAGTTCTTGCACCACGAATGTCATGATGCCCTAGAATTAATGTCCATGTTTGCACTTTTGGTCCACCTTTCTTGGGATGTTTGGCCCTTCAGACTCGGGGGTCAGTACCTGACATGATTCTGAGGTCTTGGTAACTTTAGGCCCTATCCAAACCTTATTTGCACCGCCTTAATGACTTAAAAGATGATGAAGTCACCCTTTGCAAAGAGAGGAGAGCGCGTAGCCATCATAGCAGCCGCAAGCGGAAAGGGGGTCACCTGTGTTTTTTTGGGGGGGTTCACTTGTGTCTTTTTTTTGGGGGTCGCTTGTGTCTTTTCTGCTGGTTCGGAAGCAACAGTCTCGAACGAAAGGCCCCCCGGGGGGGCCTCTCTTCCAGCCACCCGCGGCTTGGAACAAACCTGCGGGAAGTAACGAAGTAAAGAAACACACCATGAATGAATGAATGAATGAATGAATGAAT